GGTCCAATCTGAGGGGTTAGGATGGTCCAATGTGACGGGTCAGGATGGTCCAATGTGAGGGGTCAGTACAGTCCACTCTGAGGGGTCAGGATGGTCCACTCTGAGGGGTCAGGATGGTCCAATGTGAGGGGTCAGGACGGTCCACTCTGAGGGGTCAGGATGGTCCACTCTGAGGGGTCAGGATGGTCCAATGTGAGGGGTCAGGACGGTCCAATCTGAGGGGTCAGGTCGGTCCACTCTGAGGTGTCAGGACGGTCCACTCTGAGGGGTCAGGACGGTCCAATCTGAGGTGTCAGGACGGTCTAAATGATTGGTAGAGGAGACAAGGAGCAACAGATGATTTGAAGACATCTGATGAAGATGTTGAATTAATCCCTGAAAAGCCTCTGAAGTCAGCAGCTGATGCTGAGGCTGAACACTGGTCAGTTAATGGTTGGAACACATCTGTTCAGAACATCTGTCAAAAAGACTTCCATAAAATGTAGCATTGAGGACTTTATGCTCAAGAAGATGCTAACAATCAGAGCACTAAATGAGAAGTAAAAAAGCTAAAACAAGCAGAAGAGTAATAAAAAGCTTAGCATCAGCCAATCAATGGAAGAGAGTTAAATTAGCAGAACAACAGCTGTTAAACAATACTGGTGAAAAACCTGACAAATGAGGGAGAGGCGGGGCAAGATGGCGGAGGAGTGAGTCGTGTGTCGCATGGCTCCGGCTCCGACTTGTTCTGTTTATGTTTACTAAATGTCCTTGCTGTTTTGAGCATTTCGTCCATCCGGACTCGACCCCTGAGTGATTCTTGCGTGGAAGAGTAGAAGAATGGCGACAAACTCGAGGAAAGGCAAACATTCTAGCTCTGCGGCTGTTAGGCCTGACRCCRCCTCGGAGCAGRCTGCAGCTAAAACCGGACTTTCTGCGCCTCCTTCTCCCTCCCGCAACGAGGTGGATGCACACTCCTTGAAGTCTGACATTCTTGCCGCTATAAAAACGATCTCTCAACTGTGATCAAATCCGAAATAAAAGCGGCTTTGGCTGAAGAGTTTACTCTTATTAAAGGAGAGCTGCAAGCGGTGAGAGCAGAGGTGGCTAACGGCATGATGCTACTACGCGCCGACCTGGACCACGTGAAACAGAGCGTTAAAGAAGTGGAGGACGACTTGTCAACCTGGTCCGATGAGGTTGTTTCTCTGCGCACCACCGTGTTGGAACTGAAAGAAGAAGTCGTTGGGCTCAAAAAGAAGTGTGATGATATGGAAGGGTGCATGAGAAGGTGCAATGTGCTGATTATTGGAGTTCCTGAAACACCAGAATCCAGCTCCACTTCAGCAGTGGCTAAACTGSTAGCAGAGGTTCTACAGATGGATAAAGAGCCACTGGTGGACCGAGCCCATCGCTCTTCAGGTCAGGTGACAAGCCGCGAGTTATTGTTGCTAAGCTGCACTATTATCAAGAATGTGTGGAAATATTGCGTCGGGTGCGGCCATCTTTGTTTTAAGGAGACACCGAACACCATCACATCTGACTACACTGTGGCTGTGGCCAGGGCTCGAGCGGTGTTTACGGAGGTGAGGAGGCTTCTTCACAACAGACGTGATGTTCGCTATGGCCTGCTTTTTCCTGCACGGCTCCGCATCTCTCATGAGGAAGAAAACAAGGAGTTCCTGGATGCCAATAAAGCAATGGTTTACGTTAAAAAGAGGATCATCTCAGCGACGGACAACGAGGACCGGCGTTGACCGCAGGTCCAACTCTCATYGATCCATTATGACTGTCAGGTTGTAATGAACCTTTTAACTTTATGTCCCGCGTTATATCTTGATTTAATTTTAGACATTATTCTCAGGGACAACATTCCTCTTTTTGTTCTATGAACGAGAGTTTCACAGGGAATCTGTCCAGATCTTAGTTAGTGATTTATTTATCAGTGCAGCAAGGAACATAAACAGTAATAATACTTTAAAGTAAGGGAACCCCTTTTTTTTTTTTTGTTATTGTTATTTAGTTGTGGCGGGAGTCCATACAGGGAGTTGGGAGTCCAT